TCCTGTTAATTAACTACCTACCATTTTACCATTTATTTACCCTTAAATTCCAAGTTTAAAGTTTGAGGATATTGCACTTGACTTATTGGAACTGCTATACTTTAATGTGCTTTGATTATATTCTTGGTTACTAAGATTGTTTAATCTCACTCTGGTTACTAATTTCCTAATTTATGTTAGTCACCCACACCATAAATAGAGGACACCAATGGAAGAAAAGCACACATACCAGAATCGTTTCCCCTTCCCTCCCTTGCTTTCTTTTGAGTTGTATTTGTTGTTCCTCATAGAAAAGAAAATACTATAATAGTCCATTCTTTGTGTGGGTTTTTCATGTTAACTACCCCATACCTAAATCCAGTATGTCTCACCCCCAACCAGAGATAATCATATGGGTCGAGTTACATGAGTTAGCCCATATAACCTATTATAAGGGTCGGGGTTAGGTTGGAAAAATTGAGCCAACAAAAACAAATCTTTTATTGTCAAAACTAGATAACACATGAACCAAATGGGTTTAGGGTTAACTCGTTTAAACCCATATTATTTTTTAAAAAATAAAAAATAAAAAATTTTAAAATGGAGGGAGTTTTAGCACCGTAATCCCACAAGACAAGCAAATCTATAGTGAGTCATAATGAAATAGATCAATATCATAGATTGATGATGTGAATTTTTTTTTCCTACTTTCCCCAACCCATGTGATGCAAGTTGACCCATATTCTTAACTCTACTCCCAACTTTATTTAATTTATGAATATTTATTCATTTATTCTCTTGATGGATTTCATGTTTGTGAGCAACTTTCTCCTCCCTCTCTAGTCTTAGAATTTTTAATTTGAAGTATGGCAAGAAGTTGGTTACTATATCGGTTATTACTAAATCCTCTGTTCTTCATTGCTAGAGAAAAAAATACTAAACAGCTTTACTAATCCTTCCAGCAAATTGCTGGTCTAGGTGTTCAATGGATTTCATGTCATAAAACTTCTTTGGCATCCCTAACCTCTTTGAGCTTTGGGCCTATTTGGGCCAGCCCAAGTACTCGAATTGTTATAAAAAGGATGATGTGTAGTATTTGATTACTCTTGAGATGGATGAATTTGTCACTGAATGTTTTGTTACTCCCTCCAACATTAACTAAGATTAAAAGCATTATATAAGGCTTGGGTTATTTTGAGAGAGAGAGAGAGAGATTTCAAATAGGTTGTTGTCTAGATAGATTTTGCTTTTGCTAGCTACTATCAATTTAATATTGAGAGACAACATTAAGAATCATCGGGAATACAAGCCAAGCTTGAAAAGTTGCTCGCCATGTGACAATCAGACAAGTTTAGCACTTGCAATCCAAGATTTTTAAAACTTTTACAGATATATCTATATGGTTTAAAACATTTTTATATTAATAATTTAATGTCTTCAAGTATCATTAATGCTTTCATAAGGTTTGTTATTTTCCCAAAAAATAAAGTAAAAATCCCCATTTTTAAACAAATTTTAATTTTTTTACTTTAAAATTAATTATTTTTATTTGATAAAAAAATATAAACTATACTTTTTAGGACACTTAAAAATGTCGAAGACTTAATTTTTTTTTCAAAAACATGAGTCTTAAAGTTCAAAAGTCAAGATTAAAATGCATTTTAAATATTATTTTTGAGATATTTTATATACTAAAAATATCTAAAATATAATAATTTGAACAATTTTAATTTTTTTAAAGAAAACATCTATAATAATGAATTTAAATACGGGATTTCTTAGTTTAAAATAAACTAAACTTTAAAGTATTAAATAATATTTCATATATTATATGTATATTTTTTTCAAAAAATATCTTTTGGGTATTTGGGCCAAGCTTGAACATGATCAAGTTCGGCTTGAGTTTTTTCAGGCTTATTTAGGTCGCCTAAATAACATATAAAATTAGAAAAAAATATTTTACTAAATTCAGCCCTAATTTTTTTTGAATTTATTTTAACTTGCCTGTCATGTTTGGTCTAAAATACTGGTTCCAATTGGTAGGATAATTGATGGTTCTCTTGTGATTAAGAGAGTGTGTCAGAGAAGAAAAATTAACATGAATAATTGGGAAGCTAATCTCCTAGAAAAAAAAAAAAAAAAAAAAAGCAAATCCTCCAAAGCGACGCTTAATGCTCATATTGCCATCATTATTGGGGAAAAACAAAGAAAAAGATATTGCTCGCTGGATTTTCACAATCTGTAGCTAACAAAAAACATCCATCTTCCATTTACACAACAATTCCCAAAAATCATTCTAAAGCTTTTTGGGTCAAGAAAGGAAGGAAGAATTTCTCAAGGAAATGAGCTGCAGGAAAAACAAACCAAAGATGGGACATCTTTTTTAGATGAATCTGCATGCTCTAATATACAAAATTTTGTCTCTATTCCTGGGTTAAGTTGATGAATAACAAGAGATTTGTGAACACTTATAAAAAATGCCAGATAAAAAACTAAGAGAGGCACTGTTTGAACTCAAAGAAACAAAAGGATGTTTTTATCTTTTGAAGATTATATATTTGAGACATGTTTATTAAGAAAAATGCCGAAATTTTCAAGTGATCAAAATGATACAGCTGTTAAGCTCTGCTTTATTCTTAATGTTTCTTCTTATTCACTCCATTCTTCACCCTCCTTTGGTAATAAAAGACAACTTGAAATAACTTGCACTTTTGATCTTATATCTCTATCTTAAATCAATAAGAAAAAATCAATCCCTTATACTTTTATTTTATTTTTATAATTTAATATTTTAATGATATTTTTTTATAAAATATTAAATGTGGTAAGTCATGAAGAATATTAAATATGAATAATCTAAATTTCATTATATGATGGAAACAATAAGTGAAGATAAAGGTTAGTGAGGTAAATTTCATTTCAAATATTTTTCCTTCTGAATTCGCACTAAAAAAATCTTGAAAAATAAATTTTATTTTATATTATTTTAAAAATATATTCTTAAAAATGTTAGTTTGCCAGGTTTTTTTTTACATATAAATGAAAATTATATTAAAGATAAAAACGCTAATACATAAAACCCAATTAATCTAACAAGATAAATTAAGTGGGTCATTGCAAGCACACATAACCCATGAAACCTATGGCCCAATATAATCTCATCTCTGATCTTACTGGGGCCGCACATTTATACAGAAACAATAAGAACAGATAAGCAAACGGAAACGTACAAGCTTTTTTTTTTAAAAAAAAAAAACAGAAGCTTTTTGTCAAAAAATAAAAAAAAAAAGTAACAGAGACCAAGATCTTTAATAATATAATGAACCAATGTTTAAATTTTTATTGAAAGAGTTGTTCACATTTATTACTCCTACACCTCAAATATACTTGTCTTTGAAAAAAAAAATACTTATATGATCTTATTTATAGGGTAGAAAGAGAAAAACAAGTTTTATTCTATTTATAATGTATTTATCAATTTTTAATGCTTTTCTTTACATATTTTTTCTTATTAAATACTTTGAATAAAAATATCAATTATGATATTTAAGAGTATTCATTAGAGATAAAGGTAAAAACTTGTTACATTTTAAGATAAAGTTAATAATGTTTAAAATTTTTATTAATTCTTAAAAAACATAATTAAAAATAATTTATAAATAAAATCAGAGGCAATATTTGTCAAATCAAAATCTGGTAAAAGTTCACAGGACAATTTGCAAGTGAACCAAAGTAAAAGAGGGGGTTGCATGTTCCCTTATAAAATTAGAAATATTAAAACATTACTCAACATTTCAAAATAAGCATCTCCTGCCTCAAGTCGTATACATTAGCAAGAAAAATATCAATAAGAAACGTTTATAAACATTAAGGCTTTTACACGAGAAGCATTTCATTTCAAAGGAGAATACCGAACCCCAATAAATGCCAACTACTAAAATTGAACCAGTGCTATTTACATGAGAAGCATTTCGTTTTAAAGGAATCCAAAACTTTAAGCTGGGAAAATGACCAAGTGCTATTTTCCATTGTAACTTCAACTTGAAAAATTATTAATTTCTACCATAAACAAAAAATCCAACAACATCGATCCAACTTCAACATTTTAAGCTGACATTTCTAGCTAGCAAAGTTCTTATACTCGCTAAAATTGAAAACCACAACATACTACAAGTTTCAAACTTCATAGATAAAAATCCTCACCTTTGCAGCTGTGCGCAGTATAGGAGACCTCAAATGCAAGCAATGGTAGTTGAAGCTATGATAGAGAATGCGATGGAATAACACAGAGGGTGCAACACAAATGGGACCAATACTGGAGCTGACCTATCACCGGCGATTGCGCAACTTTAAAGCTAATATGGAGAACTCAAGGAACGACAAAGAACATGGAAGAACCATGACAAGAAGCAACTCAAGGCAGATGTCGAAACAGAGCAAATAGGGCTCTAGTGTGCGTGAGTATATTTGTTTTTTCTCTCAGGAGCATTTTTGACAGTTTAAATTGTTTTTATCCTAATTAAGGGTCCTTAATTGAGATTTTTATATTTTATAATCCTCAACTGGAATTAATATTTTTAAGAGGTCTTTAATTATTATTTTTTCTTTTAAATTTTTATTAATTTTTAAAAAATATATTAAAAATAATTTATAAATAAAATCAGAGGTAATATTTGTCAGATCAAAATTTGCGGTAGGGTTTTGAAACCTATTGCCACACCGTAGGAGACAATGATTGAAAAGACGGAACGGAAACGTGGTGGATGACACGGCTCGAAGAGATGGCTTTGACAAAAACATCAGAAATTTTTTAATCAAAAAAAAAAATCAGATATTTTTAAAGTCCTCCTATATCCTCCATTCGCATTATATCAATGCAAATAAGACATTTTAAATCTGACGGTCGTAATCTTCACCAAGATAACTATCTAATCCAACGATCCATAATCAATTCTCCTGCGGTTGAAGGTTACTTCAAAAAATGCAGATAAGAAAGAATAAGATAAGGCGAAAGACGCAGAGGAAAGAGACGGAGCGTGAGGAAAGAAGCCGAGAGAGGACAGAGAATTTGAAACAGAGACAGACCGGAGGACTCCACATTCGACGCCAACCGGTAATGGCTTCTCCTTTCCCCTTGTGAACCCTTTCTATCAACTTATTGTTTTGCTAACTCCGATTTAACTTAAAATCCCCAAAAAAACACTCCGATTAAACTTCAATTTGTGGAGCGAACCCTTTAGGAGGCTCACCAGCCAGGTTTTCTCTCTGGTTTTCACGGCGTCGTTTCAGTCTCATTCTTAAGAATTCATCCTGTACTACTCTTGCACAGTACAGATTTCAAATTGAAATTCCATCGGCAGCAGGTTCGTAACTGATTATTCTCTTCCTACTTGTCCTTCGCCTCCTGCACCGTCTCAACTTTTGTTTGACTTCTGTTGAAATATGAGAAAATAAGAAAGTCAATTATTTATTTTTACTGTAATGTAGAAAAATATGCCGCGATGATTTCTATATTTTTGTTATCCATTTCTATTTACTTAGAAAAAATAATAATAATTTTTTTTAAAATTATATAAGTAATTTTTAGCCCATGATATAATTTCATTAAAATTTTTAGATATTTTTTTATTAATAAATTTATATAAATGATTAAATTATTTTTGTTAAAAATAAAATGATTATAAATTTTGTTTAAATAATCATAATTTTTTTATATTCATAATACTGTAATAATAAATTATAATTTTGCATGTCAAATTTTTAATATTGCTATAAGTATTAAAAATAACAAATAATGATAATAGATTTTGTTTAAATAATCATAATTTTTTTTAAATTCGCAACAATACAACAGCAAATCAAAAATTTACATGTAAAATTTATGATATTACTTTAAGTATTGTAAATAATAAGTAATGATCACAAGTTCTATTTAAGTAATTACAACTTTACTTCTTATATTTGTAACAATACATATTAAATTTTTGATATTATTACAAGAGCAATTTGATCATTTATATAAATTTATTAATAATAGAAAAATTTTTAAAATTTTTTGTAGAATTATGATAGTTTGAGAGATTAAATTATTGTTTAGATAATTTAAAAAGATTTTATGTTTTTTTATTTACTTATTAGCTTTGCATATTTGAAGAAAAATAACCAGTGAGATCACCTGAAGTGGTCCCTATAAATTTACGTTTGCTAGCAGTTTTGAATATTATATTAATTGTTAAAATAAATTTTATAAAATAAATAGAATGTATTAGTTAGTTTAATTCTAAAACAAAAAAATAATTTGTTTTCAATACTCTAGTTCTCACTCTTTTTGTCTTTCGCTCTCGGTAATGATCAACAGCTAACAAACAGATGTTTAACTTTTAGTAGCATTTTGTTTTGGTATTAGAGGTATTAGAATAAGATATGTTTCTAATTTGTATTTTGTAGTGCATTAATTTAATACTCAGATTTTTCATTTTTTAAAAAATTATGTTGTAATTAAATAGAGAATAATTTTATTATTAGAAGTAATAAAAATTAAAAACCAAGAAGGAAAAGGAGAAATTAGAATGAGAGAATAAATGAAAACTTTCTTATATTTTAATAGGTAGAATGCAACCGAGATTCCCCTATTTATAAGCCTATGCTTATAATTCAAATTTAACAGTGTTTTGAAACCCATGCTGAAATGGTGAGCTGGTCGGATCAAGGTATGTAAAATCGGATCGGTCATTGAATCGATCACGACATTGGGTCACGGGTTAGTGGTTCAACCCCGTGTCAAACCGGTCATAATTAAAAGAATACAATTCAAATAAAAAGATATTAATTATACAAAAGTCAACCAAATCCAATCACTCAAAAGTCTAACAAAAATAAAATATAACACTTCAAATATCAATCTTTAATTCCTTACAATTACAACCCTTTAATCATTAAAAAGTCTAAAAGTCTAAAACTAATATTCACCAACACCAAAATCATCATTAACTTCATTCAAATCTTCGGGCATTAAGACATTAGGAGTTGAATGAGAAAAACCAGAACTACTAGCAACATCAGGCAAAGGTGGGGACTCTAAAACATTCATATATTCATCACCTACAATAAATAAAAATTAATACTAATGAATGGCATTTTAAGAAAGAAATTCATATGCTTGTATTAGACATGATAGTAGATTTAATAAACCTTTATAATCCCTCACAAGGGTTGATGGAGCAGCTATGGTTTCATTGTGAATGACACTTTCAAGACTTGCAACATCTTGAGAATCAAACTCAGGAGCTGGCTCTTCCTTTTTTTCAGCCACCCAAAAGTCAACTTTGTCAATTGATTCATAATCAATGAGATCATAACTTTTATTTTTCCTCAATTGACTCCTTGAAAAAAAATAAAGCAATTAAATATGATAAACAATAAAAAAAATACAGCATCATGAAACTGAGACGCACTCAAAACATATGAATATGTACATGCACATGTAATCCCTTCCCCGTGCATCATGCATTTTGAATTCGTTATGCTGTCCATCTCCCCATAATAGCACATAAAACCACATATTAAATGTTAAGATAATAATAATCTATCCATGCCATTAAAAATAAACTAATAAGAAGAAAAGAAAAGAAACATCACATATAAAAGCATTGCCATTCAAAACTCTAATTTTTACCTATGTTTCAATCACAAATTATAATTTGTAAAAACTAAATCATTCAATCTTTGATGTTGTAATCTATTTCGTCTTTTGGCATGGAAGCGTTTAAACAAACTTCAATTTCTTTCACAGTTAGAAGAAGAAGAAGTTTGGCTAAGAATGCGCATTGTAAGAGTTTGCAATTTTGGAACAAAACCTCTATAGAATGACCACCATTCATCTGTAAATAAAAAACATTTAGTTAGGTGTTAATCATATAATAACTAGAATTACCATGGATATGTTAAGTAATAAATATGAATACTCACAAGGATCTAATTTCTAGGCTGCTCTCTAACATGAAGTTTTGTCAAAAGACTCTTTACGATCACGATACAAACTCAACTGCCTCATCATCACAATATAATCAATTTCTTCACTTTCATTGGACTCAAACACATCAAGCATTGCATCCATTAACCTTCTCTTGTGAATAAAGTTCTCATCAGACAAGAATGCAGGATTCAACAAATACGTCGCTGCATGAAGATTTGTTTTAAAGTGCTTATCCCATCGAGCTTGAATAATGTTTGTGTAAGGCTTGTAATAATCTTTCTTATTGTTGAATGTTTTCTTGATTGCCTTTTTTGCCCTTTGCATGCCTTCATAAACATAAGGCAAAGAAAGCTTCTCATCTGAATCCACAATTCTCAACAATTTTATAAGAGAAGACACTACCTTCACAATTTCTAAGCAATCACCCCAAAAGCCATTTTCTAATATGATGGCAGTAACAATTATTCCAGCTTGAGTCTTTAACAATTTGTGATCTACAAAGTGCTTATCAGTCACCAAAGCTTGCAAGTCATGGTTATGCATATATATGCTATGCAACGTGATAAATGTAGTAGCAAATTTTGTTGCACCAGGACACACAATTTCTTTCCAACCTGGTCTTTTCCTAAGCCATGATAAGAAGATCATATAATTATAAACAAAAACAGTTATCTTTGATGCCTTAGTGGCAAGTGCTGACACATTGTCTAAACTTGCTATATCTTTTAAAGTAAGGTTCAAACAATGTGCAGCACAAGGTGACCAATAAATGTTTTTATATTTTTCTTTAATCAACTTGCCACATGCTACATAATTTGCAGCATTATCAATCACCACGTGAACAATATTCTTGGGACCAACCTACTCAATCACTTCACAGAACAACGAGAACAAAGTCCTAGCATCTTTTACCAAATTTGAAGTATTAACAGATTTCACAAAAACCATTCCATATGTAGAATAGACTAAAAAATTAGTCAAAGTTTGCTGCCTCACATCTGTCCAACCATCAGCCATGAGTGTACATCTAGTGTTTTTCCATTTAGCTCAATGACTCTCAATAAGTAATTGACATTCTTTTTTCCAATCTGTCAACAAATTGATTCTAAATTCATCTGGCCCAATTGAAGCAATAGCATCTATGGCTTTTTAAAATAAAAGGACAATCTAATGCATTAAATGGAATACAATTGACGATAGCCCATTCAGCAGTAGTCATTTTTGCATTGTACTGTGCTTCTTTTATTGCAAGCACACTCTTGATGCTAGGTTGGGAACCAGGAGTTGTCTTGGGGGCACAATAATTCTCAACTGAAGCAGTAGAAGCTTGCCTCTTATTGGCACTTCTCTCAGGGACTATCTTAAGTGAAGTAGAAGCAATTGGATCATTAGTTTCGAGGTCCCCAATGTCTACTCGTTCTTGTTCTTGTTCTTGTCTATCATCAACCTTCCTTTTTCTCCCACCTTTCAAAAACTCAACCATCCTGTGACGTACATCATGAGGAACTTTCTTACAAGAAGCTACTTGACTACTCACACCAGCAAGATGCTGCTTCATTCTGTTAATCCCACCTCCTCCATAACTTGATGCACAATAAAGGCAAGTATATATATTTTTCTTGCCCTCTTTTCTTAAGGCAACATGTGCCCAAGCAGGATCAGTTTTTCCACGCACAGATAGGGCCTCACATGTTGAGTCATTACCACTAGGAAGAGGATCATTGGAATTGGAAGTAAGATTCTCATTTCTATCACTAGGACTAGTTCCAATATCCATAATCAATACAATGATTATATTTTATTCTGCAAGCTAAAGACAAAGCTTCAATTTTATTTTTTAACACAAATGCAAAATTCAAATAACAAATTAGCAATAAAGTTGCATCGAGAAACAACTAGGCACAAGAAGAGGCAAGCTGAATCATATCTAAAAACAACAATAACAAAAAGAGACAACAATCACGAGCAAAATCTTTAAATCTGTTCTCAATCATACAATCATCTGTAGTATGTGTCATGGAGTCAGTGAGAAACCAATCACAACACCATAGGAAAACAAAGATAAAGGTGAAATGATATGCAAGGGCGACATAATCTGATACTTTACATTCAAAATTCAGAACTCAAATTTAGAATATCTTTAAATCTATTCTCAATCATACATTATTTTTATGTAAGACAAGCACATCTGATATCTCCCAGTGATCTGTTATGAAACAGATCCTACAGTGAAGCCTGACCAAACTACAAAAACTTCCAACAAATATAGTTCAAGAAAGCAATCAGCTTGCTTAACAGCAAAAGCAATATAGTTCAAGAAACAACAATCAGGTAAAGAAACAATAATCAGGAACTGAACCAAGAAATAAAAATAGAGTCCAGCACGAGATACAATGAAACTGACACTGACCTGATGCTGAAAGTCGAGCATGAGCTGCTGAACCACCGCAATGGGCTGAAGCTGAACGCTCAATGCTGTCGAAAAGAAGTGAAGAACTACGGATCGGGATGATGAAATGTGTCTCCTGTGTGTGCTTTGCCTCTGATTTCAGATCAATTAGAGAAGAGGAGAACTAGAGAAGAGACAGAGGTCGGAGACAGAGCGTGAGGGCGATTGAGTGAGTGGACGAGAGAGGAAGAGACGACGCAGATGATTGAGTGATTAGTGATCTGATATTCTGAGTCAGCAAAGTGGCGAAGGCGAGTGGGCGACTAAGTGATGCTGATGCTGATCTGAGTCTGATGCTCGTGCCGTGCCCTTTTTTTTCAAAGCCTCAACGAAGTGGCGACTGGTGAAGGCGAACCCTGTTCGGCTATTGCCTGTTCCTCATTTCTTGAGTCATTTTTCATTTCTTCAGGGTAGGGCTTGAAAAAAAAAATCCCTCAAAACGACGTCGTTTTGGAGGTTCAACTTGAAAAAAAATCAACCCGGTTAACCCAGTCAACCCATCGGGTTGTTCGGTTCATACCGGGTTAAACCTGGTCAAGCTCACATTGGTTTAGCCATAAACCCAAACCGGACAAGGGACCGGGTCGCTGGTTTCTGGGTTGACCTGGTCGATCCTGTTTGGGTTTCCAAACCATGGGTTAGATGGTCGACTGGACATATCAACAGTCCGTGTCTCACCTGAAAACCTTTTTTGAGGTCGAGCGGGACTGAACCAATTAGAACCAGCCTTGAACCCGGCCTAATTTTAGTGAACCGGATGGGTCTTGGGCTCTTGCATTTTTTGAAAGATGAGCTTTCTTAACACCAGAATTTATTTTTTTAAGGGGAAAAAAAAAAAGATGGAGGATGATGAGAGAGAATATCTGAGCAGAAAGAAAGTACATCTAAACAGATTTAAGGACCAAATGAAAATATTGAAAACATATTACTACTATCATTTTTCGGACACATTAAAACGCTGGCTTGTCTCTCTAAAGTCTAAATCACAGCTCTCCACAACAGTGCGGACAACAACTTCTGTTGTGGTTTTGTTTTTTGTTTTTTTTTCCTCCCGAGAAAGACGAAGAAGAAAGATGAAAGAGAAGTACACTTGAAAAAAGGGAGTGAGGAAAGGACAGAATGTGGAGGGAATAAATGAGTAGGGTGACTTTTAAACTAATCAAAATCTGCAAATTGATGATAATCTAATGAAAATATTATGGAATGATGTTGGCAAAAAAAAAAAATTATGCAATAATAAAGACATTGAAAAATAATGATGAGATAATGGATATTCATATAATATTATAATTATAAAATTTTCATTTTTATTTAAAAATCTTGTGGAAATTAATTCATCTCTAGCGCATATTTCTAAGTGTGGTTTTCTTTAAACAAACTTTTTTGTTACTAAAGATTAAAAAAAAAAAAATTATCATCAAGTGTGTGAAGTATGACGCTTAGCAAAGTGTACCTTCTTCCCGTTTTCCTCCATTATCACTCACACTCCCTTACTGCTATGTTTCTTTTCTTGCCACGAATTTTCATAAAGAATGAGAATCTGGGCCTGAGATTAATGACGTTTTTGTTTTTGGGTTTTGTAAAAAATCATGAAATATCTTTCTAAGGGAAAGACTGTGTACTACTTCTCCTAGATTGTTGTTTAATCTTAGTTGGAACTTGAAATTTGAGTTATTCATTTCTATGAGCCAAAGCTTTTAACGTTCTTTTCTCTAATGCCCTGCATATCTTGAATTTTTTTTTTTTTTTGTGGGCCTGAGATATCTTGAACTTGAAATGTAGCTTTTTATTTTTTACAGTTTCTCAAAAATAAAGTTTGTCATTTTGATATTTTTATTTTAAAAATAGTAAAGAAAATACAAAAAGGAATGCGGAGTTTTGTATTTTGTTTCTTGAATTGTGGAGTATCATAGAGTATGTTCTATAGCCGAAAAAGATTATGGATTTATAATAGTGTTTCTTATGTGTTCCAGGGCCTGAATTAGGAGCTTAAGTTGAAATCTCACGGTGAGAATTGGAAGCTCGATTTCGGAGCTTAATTTATGTTCAGACACTGTTTTGAAACTAGTCATTTTGAGGAGATAAAGTAGTTCTAGATCTGATATGGCCATATATCACTTTGAGCTATTAAAAGAAGTTCTAAATAAATGATCTTCCCGACAGCACAACTGACGTAGCTCATCAAATTTTGATTTATTGATGCTTGTGTGTGTCAATTCACGCCAGCCATGGAGTTCGATCACGCCAACCCTCATCATGCTTCAGAAATGCAGAACCATAGACGACGTGAATCAAATGCATGCGAGAGCGATCACAACTGGGCTAATCAACAACTCTTCTTTCACTACCAAACTAATCCTCACTTTTGTTTCTTCGCATCAAGAGCCTCTTGTTGAGTTCGCTCGCTACATCTTCTTCAAGCATCGTGCTCATCATAAGCCTCGAGAGCAAGACGACCCTTTTCTTTGGAATGCCATCCTCAAGTCCTACTCTCATGGTTGTTACCCAAGAGGGGCTCTGGCAATACTCTGTTTGATGCTTGAACTTGGAGTTTGTTTGGATAAGTTCTCATTTTCTCTGGTTTTGAAAGCTTGCTCTCGAGCAGGTTTGATGAAAGAAGGAACGCAGGTTCATGGATTGCTGTGTAAACTACGAATTGGGTCTGATATATATTTGCAAAATTGCTTGATTGCATGCTTTTTGAGATTTGGGTGTATTCAATTTGCCCGACGATTGTTTGACAGAATGACTTGTCGTGATTCTATCTCATATAACTCAATGATCGATGGGTATGTCAAATATGGGATGGTTGGAAGAGCACGTGAATTGTTTGACAATATGCCTCTGAAGGAGAAGAATTTGATTACATGGAATTCAATGATTGGAGGGTACTTGAGATCCAAAGATAGATTGAATTTTGCCTGGAATCTGTTTCTTAAAATGCCTGAAAGAGATTTGGTTTCATGGAACACAATGATTGATGGATGTGTAAAGCTTGGAAATATAGAAGATGCTCAGGTATTGTTTAACAAGATGCCAAAGCGAGATTTGGTTAGTTGGACTACCATGATAGATGGTTATGTTAAATCAGGTAATGTTCTTGTTGCAAGGAGATTGTTTGATGAAATGCCCGAAAGAAACACCATTTCTTGTAATACCATGATGGCTGGCTATGTTCAAAATGGTTATTGTGTTGAAGCTTTGAAGCTATTTCATGATATGAGAATAAAAGCACATACACAACCAGATGAGACCACCCTGTTGATTGTTCTTACAGCGATCACGCAGTTAGGACATATTGAAGTTGGAGCTGTCATACACCGATATTTAAAGGATAACAATAGCAAATCTTTGAGTGGTAAACTTGGTGTTGGCCTAATTGACATGTACTCCAAGTGTGGTAGCATGGTGAATGCTATCTCAGTATTCGAGAATATTGAAAAGAAAAGTGTTGATCATTGGAATGCTCTGATTGGCGGCTTAGCTATTCATGGTATGGGTGAAATGGCTATCAATTTTCTCTTCCAGATGGTAAAGGATTATGTCAAACCTGATGATATCACGTTCATTGGAGTGTTAAGTGCTTGTGGACATGCCGGTTTGCTGAAGGAGGGACTGATCTGTTTTGAGCTCATGCAAAGAGTTTACAAGGTCGAACCAAAGCTGCAACACTATGGATGCATGGTAGACATCCTTTGTCGAGCCGGGCATGTTGAAGCGGCCAAAAAACTTGTTGAGGCAATGCCTATTGAACCAAACGATGTGATTTGGAGGACTTTGCTTAGTTCTTGTCAAATCCATGAGAACTTCTCAGTAGGAAAGCCAGTTGCTGAGCAATTGATTGAGCTAAACTCTTTCAGTCCAAACTCCTACGTGCTTCTATCTAATGTTTATGCTAGTGTGGGCATGTGGGACAATGTTAAAATGGTCAGAACAGTAATGAAAGAGAGAAACCTGAAGAAAATTCCAGGCTGTAGTTGGATTGAATTGGAGGGAGTTGTTCATCAGTTCTTTGTACAAGACAAGTCACACCCTCAAGTTAAAGAGATTTATTCCATGTTAAGTGGTTTGTGAATTTCCCATTTAGAAACAGATAGTAACATTGCATGCAATATCTCTGTTTCTATGTTAAGTGGTTTGTAAATTCCCATCAAGTCTGGCTACTAAGCTTGTCGAATCAAAGGATCCATTGGCAGATATCCTTACCATGCCTCAGGGGTCCTCATAATATATATGTAACAAGCTTGGTACATATGATTTATATGCCCCCATTTTGACGGGGAGTGACGAGGAGTGTTATTATATATGTTAATATTTAGTTGGTAGATGGTAGTTAGGCAGTAAAAGCTTTTATTGCAATTTATATTTACTTCTTTGTCTATAAATAAGCCATTTGTATCCTTATTCAATGTAACATGCCGAAATTATTCACTCTGTTGCATTCTGTGTTGTGCATTTGGAAGTATTGTTTTCTATTATTGTACAATTATTCACTCTCCAGCTAACCCATTGTGTTTCATGAAGCTATGTGGAAGGACATGATTTTACTCTATATATTGATGATTGATATTGATACTTGTTACTGGTAGGATCTGACATTGAAGATGATGATGAGCAGCGTCCAACTATGGTGGAATCAACAACCAAACCTTGGACTTAAGGTTGAATGTGTGCTAACAAAACAAGGTCAGCGATTTCTAAAGAAGGTGATGACCTCTGGAGACCCCTCGGCCACAAACAACTTGATCCGAAGATTTGTACAAAATTCACCTAAATCAGTGTCTCTCACCACACTGTACCATCTCCTCTCTCCTTCTTCACTTCAACCCCATGTCTCCTCACTCGCCTTTCCAGTAAGTACTTTGTTCTCTCTCTCTCTCTCTCCCTCCCTCCCTCCCTCCCTCCCTCCCTCCCTGAATTGGTTATTACAGTCTCTTAGTCCTGCAAGTTTTGCAGCTTTATGCAAGAATTGCTGAAGCACCTTGGTACAGTTGGAACCCTAAGATTGTGGCTCAGCTTGCTGCTTTGCTGGATAAACAGGAACAATATGCAGCCTGGGAAACTCTAATTTCGGAAGCCAGTTCCAAATTAGAGTCTTGCTCTCGAGATCTGGCTCTCTTCTATTGTAAATTGTTAGAGTGTCACTCCAGGCAAAGTTCAGAAAGAGGTTTTGGGATTGCTTACTCTTACCTAAGCCAGCTTCTTCATATTTCATCGTCCTCTATGTACATTAAACGCCGTATTTATGAATGCATGGTCAGTAGTTTATGTTCAATGGACAGGCCTTGTGAGGCAGAGAATTTGGTCAAGGATATGAGAATCAAAGGACTTGAACCTTCACCATTTGAATTCAAGTCTATTATGTATGGTTATGGAAGATTGGGATTAATTCAAGACTTGGAGAGAATTTTGGTTCAAATGGAGAAAGAAGAGTTTGCCATTGATACAGTTTGTTCAAATATGGTTCTTTCAGCGTACGGAATTCATGGTGAGCGCACAAAGATGGCCTTGTGGCTTCAGAGGATGAGAAACTCATCGATTCCCTTCTCAATAAGGACATACAATTCTGTTTTGAATTCATGCGCCGTGATCATGAGAAAATTGGTGGACTTGAATGGCTTCCCATTGTCAATTGAAGAGTTGAACGCTAGTTTGGAAAGAGATGAAGCCATGGTGGTCCAAGAGCTAATGAGGTCAACTATGATTCTTGAGGAGGTCATGGTGTGGGGCTCTAAGCAAGCAAAGCTGGATTTACATGGTCTGCATTTAGGTTCATCCTATTTAATCATGTTACTCTGGTTGGAAGAGATGCGACGGAGGCTGAACGGTGACTCAAGTTATGCAATTCCTGCAGAAATTGTTGTGGTGTGTGGGTCTGGAAAGCATAGCAGTGTTAGGGGAGAATCTCCTGTGAAAATGTTGGTGAAAGAGATGATGGTGAAGATGAGAAGTCCACTGAGAATTGATAGGAAGAACAATGGTTGTTTTGTTGCCAAAGGTAAAGCTGTGAGAGATTGGTTATTGAGACATGAATTAAACCAATAGAATGGCCCATGCTAGACAGATTGATGTTAGGATCCTAATTCAAATGTTTACAGGTAGCTTTGATGCTAGTACAAGTCAACTTCAATTTCTTTGCTAATATTCTTCTAGCTTGATCTGGAATTTTTAATTTTATTTATGAATCATTTTTAACATATTTTGTGAAAACCAAGGAAAACTTTAAACATTATTAGTTTTATCTTAAAATTTGACTAGTTTTCACCCCTCTCCTGACAAAAATAAGAAGAATTATTTTTAATAATTTTTTTGGCATTTAATAAGGGCATAAATATAAAAATAAATATAGAAAATAGTGAAGTGTTTTATAAATAGAGTAAAAATTAATCTTCTTTTTTTATCCTATAAATTGAATCAAGGGAGTGACACTTGACAAAATATTGAATATTTAAGACGAGTCAAGTAGCCTTATGGTGTCATGACCTTCCAATATATATAAAGGTAAACCCAGCTTCTCTCCATTTTTTTCTTTCTCCATTTTTTCTCCACTTTCTATCTCAACTGTTAGATTTATTTTTGAATGATTGAGATTTGATGTTTCATAAAATTATTATTATATTCATTTTTTTATAAAATTTTATATTTTTATAATAATTTTATGAAACATCAAATCTCAACCGTTCAAAAATAAATCTGACGATTGAGATGAGAAGTGGAGAGAGTGAAGAGAAAAAGAAAATGAAGAGAAGCCAAGTCCATTTAAAGGTAGCCTTATGGTGTCATGACCTTCCAATATATATAAAGGTAGGTACTCTGTTTATAGACATGGACATGTATCATTGAGAGGAGGATTGGATTGAAAAGTATCCTTAATATTGATATCCCTTAACATTAAACTTGAGATTTTTATTCCCAATAAACTTGTACATTTGAATATATAAAATCTAATTGAAATTAAAATTTATATTATTTATGAAAAAGTAATTGTTTTTAAACTTTTGAACTAATTAAAGTTATAATTTGAAACTCAAATTTTCATTAATATTAATTATTTTAATTGAAAACATTTTTTACTAATTTTTTAACATTTTGAAAGAATTAATCATTTGGTTCTTATAATATGAGCTCAATTGTAATTCAACTCTTAATTTTTATAAAAATGGAAAGTTTTAGTAATTTTAAATATTAGCCTCTAAATTTTAAAATAATTTTATTCTTTATAATTTTATTTTTTAAAATATATGAATTAATATTTTAAATGGTTTAAATTATAGAGATAGTGTTGTACCCTATCAAAGTTCAAGAATTAGATTATAATCGAGTCAAAATTATAAGAAATAGATTATACTAAATTAAAATTCAAAAATTAAGTTATAATTGAGTTAAGATTATTAGGATCAAAAGATTAATTTTTCATAAAATTTTTTACAATTAAATTTATGTTGTTCAACTTCAACATGAACCTATCATCCTCCAAAGTTCAAATTTGCTCTGCTACAGTTTTATTTCATATCGAGCATGAAGATATAAATTGATAAATTTTTGATTAAAAATTTTAAAAAATAATAATAAAATCTCTCCAAATTATGTAATAATAAATTGGTCCTTAGGGACCTCTTTGTCAATAAATTTTAAATTAAAAAAATTATTTTACTCTTATTGATAAATTGTAACTTTATATTTAATTCTTGTGATTTTTTTAATAAAATTTATGATTCTTTAAATAAAAGTTGTGAATAGGGCTTATTATTTAAAAAACTTATTTTTTAATAATAAAAATTATACTTGACAAATTGTAATTTTTTATTCAACTTTTGCGATTAACAGAATAAAAGTTGTTATTCCTTAAGAAAAAATTGTGATTGGGGTTTGTTTTTTAATAATAAAAATTACACTTGATAAGTTGTGATTTCTTGCTCAACTCTTGTGATTTACAAAATAAAAGTTGTGATTCTTTAAACAAAAGTCATGATTGAGACTTGTTATTTTCAATAAGGATAAAATGATTTTTTACTTTGAAATTTATTGACATAGAGGTCCTTAAGAATTTCATTAGAATTGACATTTTGAGAGACTAACTTATCATTTATATAATTTGAAAAGATTTTATTATCATTTTCTCAAAAAATTTTGTGAAATAATGGTTATTTTAAAAGTTATACAAAATACGAATGTTGCTTACACTTTTTTATATCTATCGTTAATATTACTCAACGTTAGGCGTATACTTTAAAAATTCAAAATATTCATAATAATAAAAAAATAAATTGTAACTTAAAAAGTAAGAAAAATTCTCCAATAAAGAACCAATAATCAATTTTAAAATCTTTTTTCTCTTTCTTTCTGCCTATCGTTGCAAGCAATATTTTAAAACCTGAACCAAGTGTCACTAGAAAGAACAATAGGTCATAATTCTTATGGTTCAATTAGTTAAACTAACAGTTAAATCGGTGACATAAAAATTAAATAAGAAATAATACTTAAATACATAAATATATAAATAAAATATTAATTTGTGAAAAAAACCATAATATATCAACTATCAACCAATCATAATTAACTAAGAATATTAATTAAGAATTAGGCAATCAGACAACTCACAAGCTTCTAATATTGATGCTAAAGACTGGATTGTTAGAGCTAGAGGTAGAGGCTAGATGAGAGATTAGAGATTGAGCCTGGCCTATGGAGGAGGAGAGATTAGAGACTAGAGAAGAGAAGACATAAGACAATTAGAGATTAGAGAAGAAAGATTCCAAATTTGAGTAATTGAGTCTGAGTTTCCTTTTTTTTTTTTTTTCCCTTTTGAGACTTTGAGCCGCTCCAATTTTCGAGTTAAATTTGGTTCTCTTAAAATCGCTCAAGTCAACTCAGTTCAAATGTCCAAATGGTTCAAATAGTTGAATTATTTACTTTATTTTTTCTAAATTTTTAATAAAATCATTTATATTTTTTAAAATAATTTTGATATTTATATTTTCAACTTGTTAATTTTTTTTAGCACATCAAGTTGTTACACATACTAAGGGCAAGTGTCATTTTTATTTAAAACAAGTAGCTAGAGTTTGAATATCAACTCTTGAATGTGCATTATATGATTATTTATACTGGTAAATTAAATTTAAATTTGATATCAATAAAATATATATCATTTGTGTCTTGCCAAAAATAATTCTACTTCATTGATCTTTGGGTCTTGGATTCGCCATTGAATATATATTTATTTAAAAAGTTCATAATGCTTTGTTTGGCTTAACAAAGGGAAAGAGAAGGAACTTTAATGATGTATTTTTTGGATTGATTGGAGGAATAGGATAAAAAATTGACTATTTTACCCTTATCAAAATTTAAATGATTTTTTTATTTTAATTTACCAGCAAATAATTATGTATAATACAGTTTATCAACTTTTTAATCTATTATTTGAAAAAAAAAAGTTGCACAAAAATTAAAATAACAAAATCTCTCAAGCATTTCCCAAACACAACTACAATAGATAGAAATCAGGCAAAGGAATTATGAAATGCTCATACCGTGGAAACGGGTCTGCACTATTCACCTCCGTGTATAATACAAAACAGTTACAGTGAAGCTAATATAAGGTTGACACGTATAAACGTAAAAATACAGAAATGATAAAGAGGTACAATTGTCCTTATCCACACGAGTAACTAATCACATAATTAATATACAATGATTATGTTCTAACATCCCCCGTCAAATGAGAGGGGGTTACAAACACAGTAAGTTTGCCATTGCAATTTGAAAACTGAGGATGGGCCAAAGCTTTAGTAGCATATACTAATGAGTTTCAAATCATACTTACTATGAGGGAACTAGAGAAGGATGATTTAGTTTATTTTTATCTTAATTTTTTTCAATTCATTCCATTCTATTCTAGTAAGCAAATGTGACTTAAAAGTACCAGTTAGGACTTGATCTTGAACAAAATGAAGATCAATCTCTATATACTTAGATCTAGCACCCTGAACAGGATTAGAGGCCTAAGCATTATCATTGATGTTATCACGCTAGACTATGGGAGGACGACAAGGTGCACATCCCAATTCATTCGGCAA